TATAAACACATCAGGATGTAAAGAAAGCAAGAAAGTAAATTGTTGTTCTGCTGTTTGTTTAAACGAAATCTGCATCACTGCTGAAAGAATAGACCGGTGTTTTTACATTCTGCTGTTTCTGATCGATAGTTGCAGTGTCGCTGATATGAATGTATTTATTTCTTGCTGGACAGGGGACATGATTATTCCCTGGCCAAATGTTTAGAAGGGATCCTAAAATAGAATTAAATTACACCTCTTAGCCTAAACGTGTAAGTACGACATAATAAATATGCGCCAAATAGTACAGAACACATCACCAGTGAATAATGCCGCAGTGTGACACATGGTACTTTAATACAACTCATACTAAATGATTATAATAATTAAGATAAATATGAATCAGTCGAGCTGAACCGGTTTTCACGACTACATGGCCTCTGTAATAAATGAGCGGAAACATACTTTAATCCTGTAGCTGCTATTTGAATAAACAAATTAGTTGCGTAGCTCCAACAAAGGTTGTGTTTTTTTTTTCCCTCACGTGAACAAGCCAAGCTGGAAAGTTGACATAACTTTTGTGTTTCCACGTTCCAGGTCTCCCTCAGAGCGGCAGCTGGCAGGACCTGAAGGACCACATGCGCGAGGCAGGCGACGTCTGCTACGCCGACGTTTTCAGAGATGGAACCGGAGTTGTAGAATTTGTGCGCAAAGAAGACATGACCTATGCTGTTCGAAAGCTGGACAACACCAAATTCCGCTCACATGAGGTATGTGTACTGATTTGATTGTCATGGATAATGTGTCTTTGCGGTGTGGAGGTAAGTATTGCAGGAAATGTTTGAAGCACACCTGGCCCTCATTTCCATCTGTGGTATTTCCACCATAGGAAGGAATGTTGTCTTTTCAATGTCAAGTTCTCTTGTGTCTGCCAGGGAGAGACTGCTTACATTCGTGTGAAATTAGACGGTCCCCGCAGCCCAAGTTACGGAAGATCCCGCTCCCGAAGCCGTGGCAGCCGGAGCAGGAGCCGCAGTCGCAGCGCCAGCCGC